GCGAGGGAGTGGCCACACAACGGGCAGGTATCATACCTGAAACGAAATCGATTCTAGAACATAAAGGACCGTCCCTGAATCTAAATGCGGCAACCGAAGCCGACCACCAATTCCAATACCAATACCAATGCACCAATATGGCTCGCCAATTTTAGGCAGACCAATGGTGCGACTCCACTCTTAAAATTAGTCTTTATGATCTGTGTTAGCTGACTTTTAATAGTAATTTGACTCTATTTAAATAAGGGATTTGATGTGTAGACAATGATGCCAATTTTGTTGTTCGAAAACACTCCAAACTAAACTAAAAAAAATCAATAAAAATTTGTTTAGTCCTGTCAAACAACGTATCGTATTCTAAAAAAGGAAGTACTTTTAGGGACTAAACAATTTCTTGGTGATTTTTGGTTTAGCTTAGAGAGTTTTCGAACAATAGAATTAGCACCAATATTTATGTAAAATACATCTCCAGTGAAATTTCTAAATGGATCAAACTGATTAATGAATTTGCGTCTTTTATTGAATAAACCTACAATAAATGAATAATGCTATGTGTAATAATGTAAACAAGTTTTGACACGGATTTTGCAACATTCCGTTTTAGTGAACTTTGGTCCTTTTGACTAACGCTAACACTTTTACAAACTCGGATCTTTAAAAATATTTTGTTTGCGTAAAATAAAATTTACCGTTTTAGCGTTTCGTAGGTTTAATAACAAACGTTTATAGTTTGTCTGTCTGTCTGTCCTAGTAGTCCTGTTATTACTAAAAAGTTATGATTTTGAATAGCTATGTAGTGTTATTAATAACCTTTAAAGTGATACAAAAAGAAGATATTATACATAGAAAACATCCAAACCCCGAAACTAATATTTGCAGAGTATACAAATATTTGGTCTGACCCGGGAATCGTAAACGAGACCTCAGAACAGCAGTCGCATACCCTACCAGTGCACGTTCGAGGCAGACAAACGAACGAAACACTATACCTAGGTTAAATAATATTACGCTATGTTTATTAGGATCAAAGTAGAGACTATAAATGCTAGTGAAAATGCCAGGAACCACTAACAATCTTTTTTTATTTCATTGACCGGTATTACTTGAACTATCGATGCCTCGGTGGTATAAGGGTCGGACCAAATGTTTGTATAATCTGTAAATATTTGTTTCGAAGTTTGGATGTTTTCTATGTACAATATGTATGTATTTACAAAAAAAAAGTATATAAGTAATCCATCAGTCAATCCAGCTTTTATAGTGGTTCTGTTTAGTTTGGAACTAGATGGCATTGTGTGTCAGGTGTCTGAAATATTATAATTATTTTCTTTATTTATTTTATATACACATCTTGAAATTTTTAAACATATATTGCATGTCATAAAAAAAAAAAATACAGTAAAAATGTATATGTCAGCTCCGACGCACGACTGGAGTTTATTTGTTAAGAACGATTCGGCTGCACACAAGTATACAGGTTATACACACACATGTTAAAGGTGCACACGATAGGTTGTGCACAAAAAACGTAACGAGGGCCTTCGATCACTAAATTTTACTCTTCATATTTTTATCAGGCGCCTTATATGAAATTCGATTCTTAAGGAGTAAACTCCAAAATACATATTATTATTTTTTTAAATTAGTAAACCATGTATTGTTATTATTGACTCTGGTACCGAGACAGGTCAATATATATTGGACCACTATATCTGTTTTTGGCAAATTTTGGCGCTCTTTCTTTTCTAATATTCCTTACGTACCTATTTATATGTACATATTGATTTTTGTTAAGTCCTTTAGCTAAACGCTGTGCAAATAGGTAAATAAATCACATAAAACGGATAGCAAATAAAATAGTGTAAACAAGATTACAGAACTACTAGAAACTTCAGTGTGAAAATAAATCTTATGTTTGAAACTTTGAACTAGATTCGGCGTACCGTATTTTAATAGCTCTAATATATCTTAGTGTTTATAGGTTATTCTAGATTAAAGTGTAATAAGTTCGAACGGTTTATTGAACATCTTAAATTGTTGTTGTCACTATAACAAACAAAATGGTTGACATTCTACAGATACACGTCATTAAGTCATAGATCTTAATAAACATGCGTTGTTCCTTCACTAATACTTTGAAACCCCAACTTTATAGAAAACTAGCAGCTCTGTCGTGCCAATCCAAAAGACTGTAATTTGACTTACAGTGTTTTGCCTTAACAACGCTCAATCAGTTTCTTTACGTCGGTTTAGTACCCGGGATCAACACTTTTGTTATTCTAAACTGTATTTTAGAAGAGACAATAATTTAAAAAATACTGTATTGTATTGAAATTAGGGTTTTAACATGGCAAGCATAGCATGGCAGGCTTTGAAAGTTAAAAGTAGTTTTCAAAAGTTCCAGTGTATTGGATTGGCACGGCAGAGCTGTACCATGCATTGCTTCGCTGTGGAATATTGTAGTTGCATTGCTGAGAACTGCATTGCGTCCGTGTGACGGATTAAGAGTACAGAGTGTCACTACCCCTATTTATCCCATGGGTGTCGTAAGAGGCGACTAAGGGAGAAAACTATGCAGGACAACAGCATTGCAGAGAGAAGGAAAACTTGATACAAACCCTTTACCAACCCGTCTGGCCAGCGTGGTATACGAGTAGTAGGCCAAAACCTCCTTTCTAAGGAGAGGCCTATATTCAGCAGTGGACTATTAAAGGTTGTTGATGATGATGATGATTGCTGAGAAATGAGAAACTAAATTGACGAGAAAAATGAAAATTGATTGATTGATTTGTTTCGGTTTCCGTCTTTGAATATTCAGTCGCTTGGTTGGCAGAGAAAAGTATCGCGGCTTAAAAAACAGCACAGCGCTTGGTAACCAATTTTTCAGCGTGAATATTTTCGTGGTATACAGTCTTAGAAAAAGCAGAACACACGTCAAATATAATGTACAAGCGATTTCGAACATTTGTATCATGGAATAAGACTTCTCTCAAGGCGGAGAGTAGTTTGGCATCTGCGTAGTGTTATTCGAGTTTCGTTGCATTGATGGAGTGATGATTTTAACAAATGTTATGTTTCATTGGTGATCGATGATTCACTGACACAAACATAAGAAAAATCACATTTATATGGGTTTTTTACACTGTTATTTAACTATGTCTTCTAGCAGTTTTTGTAAGAATTTATTGCACATCTTTATGATAATTTTCACTTATAAATAGACAGATTGGACTCTCATTTTAAACCTCACAAACGGTCGTATGATCCTAAACTAGGCAGAGCTTGGACAATGGTAACCAGACTGCTGATAAACTTACTTATATATTTCTAAATACATACATATTATAGATAATTACACCCAGATATAGAACACGTACATGTACTAAGAGCCTGATTATTGTAGAGATAGATAAAAAAATCGAATCTAATGTGGTGACGGTTTAAGACTACAATCACACTGTCACCACCCCTATTCATCCCGTGGGTGTCGTAAGAGTCGACTAACGGAGCAAACTACTCCGCACAACAGCACTGCAAAGAGAAGGAAAACTTGAAAAAAACCCTATACCAACCCGTCTGGCCAGATCGTGGTAGTTGTAGAGCAAAACCTCCTTTCTAAGGAGAGGCCTACGTCCAGCAGTGGACTATTAAAGGCTGTTGTTGATGATGATGAGATAATAATCTCTGGTTCTCCTCTTCAACACACTCAGAGAAAGGTTAACTTATATACGAGTACATGCTAGGCAAGGCATTACATAGCCGAATAGGAATAATGAAGAAACTACCGTGACGACTTGACGTAGATATGGAAGGAGTTCCAAGGATAAGAGACGCGACAGGACCTTTCAGGAACTGTTAATTGCATATTTACAAAATATTATATAATCTAGAAATATATATAAATAACATTTACAGTTATTTAAACTGCAGAAGTTATACACAGTTATCTAAACTGTATATTAAACGGTCTTATCGCAGTATACGTCTGTAATTATAATTTGTAATGTTAAGTTTTAATTTTTCAAGTTTCTTGATATATAATTAAGTATATGTATGTATGGGAATTTACGGAATATCCAGCTTGTGATTGGCCGTGATCGCATGCTGACTCACTTACAGGAAAACACCAAACAAACCAGTCCACTATTGTCTGGCTTTTCGACCAGGTTCCACCTGACAACCAGCCGGTGTAACCTGGTCGAAAAGTCAGGCAATTCAAATGCATGTTTAAACCTTTTATGTGATTGCGTTAATTCGTAATTATTTATTTCTTTAACTGTTCAGTTCTTTCGAAATGGTTTCCTAGTATATATTTAATATTACAATTTAAAAAAAGTATTAATTACTCGATGAATTTTCAATTTTTTTAAAGACAACTCCAGCACTAAGAATATATAACAATTTGTAGCGCGCACAATGTGTTGCCCCCTGTGGGGACCAAACCCACAACACTCAACGCAGTAGGAAGCGGCGAGATGAACGTTTACTCGTAAATCACTACGCCATTCGTGCAGTCTTTAAAAATATGTGGTGTAAAATGTGGCTGTCATGGGTTTTTCCTGCTATTCCATTATTCAAATTAATAATCAATAAAAAACGGTTGAAACATGCCTAATTTTGTATGACTGTAGATGTACGTAACTCTTTCTCTTTCTACCCAACGTTAGAAAAAGAGAGAGTTTTATGGGTCATACGGAAAACCCAAAAAGTATTACACGATGACGTTCTAATAAGTTTTCTTGGCTTCGAATCATTTCGGTAGTAAAAATAGCGTGGGGCAGACGTAAGGTACGATTTAGAACTAACGGAAATATATAATTTTATTTTCATTTAGTGATCGTTGCAACAATATTCAATTATTAATTTAGCTTCACTAAAACAAATCACGCGGGAAATTATTACAAAATAACCTCAAAAATACAAAGTTGTTAACGAAACTAATATTTTTAGATTATAAAACATTCAAGTGACAGTGTTAGTGTAACGATAAATCAATAAAAATGATGACAATAAGCGAAAGCCAGTTCTCTTCGAACAAAATGTCCAGCATCCACACCATCAACGACAGGGTTGTCCACAGAGACAGCTTCGATGACACGAAGAGCTCCTCAAGCGTCAACAGCACTCTCATCACCAAGAGAGGTTTCAAACCCTCAGACATGTACGACCCTCAGAAGAAGGAATTCCTCACGAACCTCAGTTATAAGTTATTCCCTGTAAGTTGGGTAAGTTCTTTTTTCAAGTTAATAGATGGCGCTTCTAACACACGCATTGGATTTGGTACACAATATTGAATATATTTTATATATAATTATGTATTATTTATTTTATTATATTTAGTATCATTCATTTTTAATCTGTAGATGTTTTTTGTAAATTTTCGATCTGTTGAATTGTTCCGGATTCTACAAATGACCTTACATGTTGTAGAATCCAGCACGGTATTCAATATCAATAAAAAACTATTTGGATTCGTTAAAAATGTATGACGCTAACTGTGCTTTTGGAACAAAATTGTGGATCTTAATAATACGAAACGAGTTAAACAGTTAAATTACTTCTATTTAACGGTGATATCTAACATTTACATAACATTAATATTTAAGAACATTACGAATTAGTAGGACATTAACTGAGTTCGTTTTAGTAGCAGAAATGGTTTTAGAGGATTACGAAGTGGGCTGTGAATACGAGTTGTATTCATTTGATTAATATTGGGATAGCTATGCTTTGAAACTAATAAGCTCCTCACGACCTCATAGAAACTCGGTGTTAATGAGTATACTGAAGGCCCAAGGACTCTGGTGGGTGGGGGGATGGGGACTTACAGTGTGCCTATGCTCTTTAAACCTGTGAAGGAAAATGAGCCCAAATTATGAGTTAAGAAAGTGATATCCTTAAAACCTGTTTTATGAACCATGCAGCATTGTAAATATGAGTCTATGTTTCTGTTTTCTAAGTTTTAGTTTAGAAAGAGATATTGGTTCATTGGTATACCTAGTTGTTAGTGACACTGACCGCTCAGCCAGGTCGAGGGTTCGATCCCCACCCAAGACAAGTCATTTAGTAATAAGCATGATTACTTATTTTATGTCTGTCTGCGTAATTTATCTATTAGGTATGTATTGGCAAATATATAAATGTGTTTATCAGAAGTCTTACTAACATAGTGCAAGCTCTGCCTAGAGTAAGATCGGCTGTCTATGACTTATTATTAAAATGGGTCACTGCCGTTGAAAACACTATTAATTCCCCACAAATTTGATATAACTGCCCTTAATTTGAGAAATGTCACTTTAATTATGAGGACACAGTGCCAATGTTATTAATGCACCATGATAAACCATTCGTGATGCAAGCCAAGCAAAGTTCAAGCTTAGTCTTCACCATAAATAAATTTTCCATGTGGTGACTGATTAAGAATACGAAGTATCATTACCCCTATTCATCACCGAGCATCATGGAGCAAACTACTCAGGACAACAGCACTGCAAAAAGAAGGATAACTTGAAAAAACCCGCCTGGCCAGCGTGGTATAGTAGGCCAAAAACCTTCTTTCTAAAGACAAGCCTATCTCCAGCAGTGGTCTATTCAAAGCTGTTGATGTGAACGATGTGATACAATCTGTGTTGTTCCAAGTTGTGAATTAGACCGATGCTAGTATCAAACACATTACTGTGAGTAGTTACGTGATATAAATACAGTGCAAGGTGAACTGCGATGGTTTTAGAACACAGATTGTAACTGTAAACGTTTCTTGCATCTGTATTTCGGATATTTATCGAGAATTCATTCGTGTTTTAACGAATCACATTTAATTAGTTGTTTATACAATAAGAACCTCACACGCACTCTCTCTAATTGGTAGTTTTTGATGTAAATCGCCACCATTTATACTTGCTTACACCAGAAGGTGGTACCTTGAATCTGGGGTGGTGGACTTGTGAGCTGCAGATGATCATGGGCGGTGGCCCATCTGTTCATTTGCCATCGTATGCCACTCTTTTGTGTAAAGGCAATTCTATTGTAATAGTGTTATATATACATGTATCTGAATGTTTTTTTTTAAGCAGTGTTTTAAACCACTGCTTTTAAAAAACACAAAGCAATGGGCATATTTTTTCCATTTTTTTGTATTATGTACATGGGTTTAAAGTCTCTGACACCTTCCAAATGTACCCGGCACATAGGCACCGACCTACCATTTGGTTGCGTTTAAAAAAACATCCATAAGAACTATAAATGTTTAAATTACGCTTGTGATTGTCGTTAATCATCATCAACAGCCTTTACTAGTCCACTGCTGGACATATCCTCTCCTCAGAAAGGAGGTTTTGGGCTACTATACCACGCTGGCCAGACGGGTTGGTATAGAGTTTGTTTCAAGTTTTTAATAAAATGTAGTTACAAAATCATATTTCCAATATCCACAAATTTGTTCCAAACTGTATTACAAATAAATTTATTTTATGGTATTTTGTATATTTATATGTAGCTGCCGTAGATGTAGTAGTTAGAATAATGATAAAACTAACAAAAACATAAAATAAATTAAACTAAATGCCTATTTTATTTCTTTTGCAACTGAGAAGTCATTGGACTCAGAATTTCGTCAAAATCGTTGAGAAACGAGAATGACCGCGTTACAATATTAACTGTCAAACGATTTAAAAAAAAAACAATTGGTGCCAACATAATAATTAAAAAGTTACTAACTCTTTGGTATTTTTAACACAATCGAAGAAATATAAACTTTATGTTCTCAAGATAAAAGCAATAATCGCTTGTAACTTTACTTTTCGTAAAGAATTTTATTTTAAAAATGGATTCATAATAAGTGATATCTACAATGCATTTAACCAAGGACAAATTTAATGAAAGTTAAAAACATATTTCATATCTGAAAAAGAAAAAATAAATTCTATAAATACACGTTTTTGTAATAAAGTTGTTAGCACTATATGCTAATGCTATATGCTTCATGAGCCTGTTTAAAAAATGAAATACTCCGTCATATTTTTATACTTACATTTAATAATAGTACTTAAAGAAATAAAGAAATGGATGACAGTGCAAAGCATGCAATCCGCTGTTATTCTGTCCAAGCCAATCATGATTAACAGCCATAGAATAAGCACAACGACAACATCCTGACCACGACCCGACCACGTTTGTGGATGTAAGCATTGTTACTCCACATTTCGGATTTACACAGATAAGGTGAAGAGTTCCCCTTCAGACTTATCTCTTAATCAGATTACAGAGATTTAAAATTATATTTTGATATTAAATGTTAAAAAGAGACTAGTTAAATAAAACGCATTAAAAATTTAGGAGATCCACAACACCAGCATCAACCTAAGGTTTGGCTTACCATATCATGAAAATACCACTAAAGTAACAGAACCCGAAATTTCAAATCAATCGGAGTTATGTAAGTTACTGAGATCCCTTCATCAAATAAAACTTGAGCCGATGATCATTACAAATTGTAGCTGAGGACCATCTCGATCAGCTTTTAAACGAGAAAAACCGCATCATACCGCAGTTTAATTTTAGCTTTAGTAACAAACTTTATAAAAGAATTCAATGACAATAAGATGGCAATCATATACAAAATGTAAACTAGTTATTTTTTTGTTTAGAAGCTACTATACCACTACAAACACACACAAGTCATGCATCGTTAGTTAAAAAGCGGAAAAACGAAGATAGATATTTCAGAGACTTGAACGTTACGAAAGTTCTGAAAATGAAAACAAACAAATTAACCTATTTAGTTTCTTTAGCGTTGTTTGTGTTAAAATATATTTGTAGCTGGCAACAAAGGCGGTCGAGTTTCTTCACTTCTATTATAAAATTTAATTACACGTCTGTTCATCCCGTGTATGAATGGCAAACGGCACTAATATTGGGGGTAGTCAGTAGAGTCACAGTAGAGTCACATTTATAGATGAACCTAATAGCTGTCCTGTCTTGACGAATCTTGAGCTGAATATGAGGACGAATATTTAGTCGATTGTGGGGGAGGGTCATGGGTCATGGCCTCTGTAATTCCCCATTTTGAACCGCCTGATCCCGAGTAATACTACACATCACATCAACAGCCTTTAATAGTCCACTGCTGGACATAGGCCTTTCCTTAGAAAGGAGGTTTTGGCCTACTATACCACGCTGGCCAGACGGGTTGGTATAGGATTTGTGTCAAGTTTTCCTTCCCTCTGCAGTGTTGTTATTCTGCGTAGTTTTCTCCCTTAGTCGGCTCTTACGACACCCACGGGATGAATAGGGGTGGTGACACTCTGTATTCTGAATCCTAAATGGTAATAGTAATACTAAATGGGATAAAATATAGGTATAAACAGTTTTAAAAGTAAAAACGACCTGTGACCTTCAAGATTTAGTGCATGTTTTGGTGTCATCCGAAATACTACAATATTTACACATTAAAAAATAAAAATTAAACACGCTTTTGTACTAGCCGAACGTAAAAATTAGAAAACAATTTTCTACAAGTTCAAAAACAAAAATTGTTTTATTGTAAAAATGCTTAGGGTGGTTATTTGTGCTGTGTTTTTAAAGAGTTGGTCTGCTATAATACGGTATTATTAAACGGTAAAATTATTTATGTAAACACTTAAGAGAGTATTAGCTTAAGATCGTACTAAGTTAACGATGGTATAACTTTATTGTTTTTATAATATATTCATAACGGTACGGCAATAATATATTATAGTGAATAGTGATTTAAAACTTACCAATTTTATAGATTTTTATTCTATTACTAAAGTAGTTTTGGGTGTTAAACAAACCGAAACAGAATTAAAAATCGAGAAATTATAGTTATATTGGCCTATAAGTCGATATCCTGACTGGAGGCGGAGGTCGTGGGATGGATTCCCACTGAAGACAAATAAATATTGTGTGATAATATCGATTTGTTCTGTATCTGAGTGTAATTTATCAATAATATTTATAACTAGCTGGTACCCGAGACTTCGTTCGCGTGGAATTTGGAAAACGCTGCCTTAGTGATGTAGCACAGTACGCGACTACAGTGCATGAGGCCTTGGGTTCGATTCCCGGACCGGGCATAAATTTATAGGGTTTTTAGAGAAATATAGCCTAACTTACTCCTTATATACAGCTACCTGGTAATAAAATATTATAAAAATCGGTCCAGCCATTTTGAAGATTACCCGAAACAGACAGACAGACAGAAAGACAAAAAATATTTAAACTGGTTTTTAGGCATAGGTATCGTGCAAATAACCGTGTAAGCCTGAAAAAATCTATTATTTTGTTGTTACAAACAGACGTTTCAAGTTTATTTATTTCCTATACTACGTGAAAGACTTTTCAATAAAAACATTCATTTAATAAAAAAATAAAGAAATTGATTAAAAGACGCATATTTTAACCTGCCATTACAAATAAAATGACAATCTCGAATATGCTTTAAATAACTGACCAAAATTTGGACCAAAAAAAAAAAAAAGGTGAATTTAAAACAAAAGAAGTAATCGATTATGTTGAATTGTTGACTTTGTAGTCCAGTCTGATGAAGCTTTCGCTGTGGTCGGTCCCTCATGACAGAGGATCTTCGTCTGGATCAGTGTTGCATCTGGAGCGGATGAATTGCCTCCATCAGTTTCTGTCCAGCGCGTCTCTTACGCGTGTACCAATTCGGAGACATGGGACTTTCACTTGGTCAGTCATTCTAGTTGGTGCATGACAGCACGATTTTTTGCCTTCAGAGTTCCAGCAATCATCAGTTTTTCTAAATTTCCATCGTCTCCACGCACTGTATTGCCCAAAAACGGGTACGAGTATGTGTTATTGGCATTTGTATGATGTCTTAAATAATTCTTTGTCGTAGTATTAGATTAGAATAGATTTGTTCGTCAATTCCCGTGGGAGTAATGAGACAGTCTATCAATATGGTGGAACCACCTACTCTTTTCTGCACATCAGTTTTGCCAAGTAATTTTAGAAGTACGAGTTTCCTTGAAAACGTGGCGTTATGTTTTAGAAGCGACTGTTAGGACGTGGTCATCTCATAGAACTTTAAGTGCACCCTGTAAATAACCGTCATGGGTCGCCAGTTTAGTTGTATTGGCATTCAGTTAATGTTTAACGTTTTATACTAATTCAGTTCTAGAGGTGTGCGTGTTCGAAACTGTTTGATTTAAACTGCTACACTTCAAACTTGAATAAGTAGTTTTTTTTTGATGAGATCAAATTTGAATCTTATCCTTACAAATAAAAAAGAATTTTGCAAAGAGGTTCCTGAATGACGATTCTTCTACTTATGCTATTCTGCTTATCTTTGACTGACTAATTTAGGGACCTTCTAGATTTTTCATTCTATCCTTTAGCAGATAATCTAAGGAGATTCGGCCCCATATAAATATGAACATTTATTAAGAAAATACAGTTTACAAGGGCTGATATTGAAAAAATGTATTCCATTGTTGGAAGTTATCTCAATTTTGGTATTAAAATCGATACTGCAACGTTTTTTACTAAGCAAGAAAATACTTTATGCAGGTCTTAACACTGCGGTACCATTGTTCCTTTTTTCTTGTCAATTAACTTGAATTTTATCGTCCTTTGAAGGTTAAAACTATATTTAGAAAGAGTGTAGCATTTTTCGGTGATGACGGTTTAAGACGGTTTGGAGTGTCTGTTGGTAATATTAAAATAACCGCTTTGTACTAAATGCATATGTATGTTTACACGGTACATATGCCAAAATAACATTTTTTACAATTTTTGTCTGTCTGTCTGTCTATTCATTCCGGGTAATCTCTGGAACGGCTGGACGGATTTCGACGGCACTTACACTGGCTGATAGCTGATGACATAAGGAGTAACTTAGGCTACTTTTTTTAGACTAGCTTCGCCCTGCGGCGTTGCCCGCGGTTATAACAACAAACGCGGGTAACACCACGGGTCTCAGCTAGTTTTTAATATGTTCGTTGCCCTCATAAACTGGGCAGTGCTTTTGTATCTGTATAATGTTTATTTTATGCCTAGCTAGAACACTTCAGTACCTCTATAAAACATAAAAATGTTCTACAGTACATCGAACCCTCTGCATCCGGCACGTTGCCAGTAACTCGAACACTTGAACTGTTGAGTACTTTAATATCAAACGTAGTCTTAATAACTGATATTAAAAACGAATAAAGTTTATTGTTCGAGCTATGAGAGGCTAGGAATAGCATTGATCTAAATTAGTTCGGCCCGGACATCGAACTCGTGTCAATCGGCACGTCTTCTTGCCATTATGTTATTTAGGGAGCATTTATGTTTCAACACCTTGTTAAACATTTAACCAGGAACGTCAATGACTTTTTTTATGACATAAAAGGCTAAGGAGATGATGGGTCATGAATTTCTTCAACTCAAGAGACGGCACCCGAAGTTAGGGTTTTAAAAAAAAGGATATTCCCGTTCTAGGAATATATCCTGTATCACAGGGTACTTTACGGACATTTATAAAACGGACACAAATAACACCCAGACTCAGCACGACAATTTGTGGTTCACAAGAAGTGTTGTCCCATACGGGGAACCCACAACACTCAGCACCGTAGGAAGCGGTGAAGTGACCGCTTAAACCTCTAGGCAATCCGTGCAGTTAGGTTAGGAGGGAATCGGGCCTATTGTGTAACACTGGTTTTCTGTATATAAGGGTATATATCACTCCTTCTGTTTGCTCTCTCAGTCGGCCTTTACGACAATCACGGGATGAATAGGGGTGTTGACATCCGTATTCTTAATCCGTCACCACATGGCACTGCAAAGAGAAGGAAAACTTGACACAAACCCTTCACCAATCTGTTTGGCCGAACGTGCCGAAGAGTATGCCTTTCGCTAGTCACAAATATGTTGCCGCCTTTGTGTCTAATCTACATAAATGAGCAATAAATAATAAAACAATTGGGGATTGACATCGTTTTTATTATTATTGCCCGAATTTTTTGGAGGGACCAAAATAATTAACCTTTGGAAAGGTTTTTCCAGGTCTTTGGGGACATAATATTGTCTTTTGAAACATTCAATTTTATTACCAGTTGACGATGGATTAACAAAATCCAAAAAAAGTTTAAAAAAAGTTTTTTTTAAAGATCTGGCTCCGATAAAACATGGCCGACACGACAATGACGGTCAGTAGTCAGCTATTGTTAGAAATAAAATAAATGATACATAGAACATTTTCTTGGCATAATTTATGCAATTTGTGGAGCCACTATCTTGCAGTTATATCTATTTATTGTTTATATTTTGACTTGGTTTCAAAGTAGATATGATGACGAATAAATAGGTTTTTTTTTATTGTGGTAAAGGAAGCAACGTCACGTCAGCAATGGCGTGACGTGGACGTCCGTGCGGTGACGGATTAAGAATACGGAGTGTCACCACTCATATTCATCCCGTAGGTGTCGTAAGATCCGACTAAGGGAGCAAACGCAAGACACAGCACGGCGAAGAGAAGGAAAAAACAAACCCTATACCAACCCAGCCAGCGTGGTATAGTAGGCCAAAACGTCCTTTCTGAAGAGAGGCCTATGTCCAGCAGTGGACTATTAAAGGCTGTTGATATGATGATGTAATAGGAGGCAAGCAATCAGACGGGTTGCCCGCTACCCACACCTGCAAGTTTAAGTCTCAAGTGCAATAGAGCCCTCCTATAATTAGTGGGAGGACAATTGGTCCTCCTGTTACCTCAGTCTCTCGGTGAAAAAGAAGGCAAATGCTTAACATTGGTTGTCTGAGTGAACAAGAGTACTTGCAAAATAAGCAACGAGAGAGACGGATAATAAATAGTTTTCTTTATCTCTTTCTAGGCGAGCTCTGTGGTCGTCTCGGGAAATTTCTAATCTCCCGACGGTTCCACGATTAAAACCATGCCCAATTCACGATAGCCAGGCCCAGCCAGGAATTATCAGGCTTCCATCTCTCTGTCTGTATCGCTTCTACTTCCAGGCTGTTCTCTCTATGCTTATATCTCTATGGTGGTAATAATCTGGTCGAGCCGGCCCAGATGTAGCGAGGTATGATTCTCCCACGCTTAAATATACTAAGTTCTTATATTACGTACATATTTTCTACTCGATACCATTGCTGTATCGATCATTTACACGTATACTCAATGAATTTTAGACGAATTGGCCTCGATTCAATGCAAATTCGTCTGGTATGAGTTTTCATAGCGTCTCTAGCTGGCAGCGGACACTTGGCCGAATGCCAACGCCACTTACGACCCAACCTTAACAATATACGTTGAAACACGCACCAATCAATTTTACACTCTATCAACTTTGTTAATAAGTAGAAAATAAAAAAAATAAGATTAAAGCGGAAGTTAATTGTTACAAAAGTTAGTTTAAATTTAGGACGTGTTATTGATTAAACGAGATTTTATATATATATATATATATTTTCACTCGGTTCTCAGTGTTTTTTAGTTTCTAACATCGAAAACAAGAAGAAATAATATTAATGCCAACCGTCAAATCTAGTTTTGTATTTTGAATTAGAACTTTTTTTTATGCAAACAAGCTATGGATCACCTGATGGAAAGCGAATACCGCCACCCCTGCACGCCTGCCTTTTCGTATATTATACAAAAATTCCACAAAAACATTGACATAAACGACGAAGTATTTCATTTGAATGGCTACAGATACAAAATATGTATGATTATCCATTATGTAGGCTTGATAATTATTATTGTAATTTCAATGTAACATTATAATAAATTTTATTACAGTTACTTTTCGCGCGTAAATTGATGCAGAAGATAATCGCCTCTTGACGTGATCCGCCAATAAAAATAATAAACTTTGGCGTCGGTAAATACTGCCAATTCAAAAAAAATCTTTCTGAATGAGAAGAAAACGATACCCTTCCCTCTACCTTTGGTAATTTGTACAAAAAACTTTTTTTTTTTAAAACGGTATAATATACAGCCGAATACTTATAGCTATTTGTATTTTGTCGTACTACAATTTTTTCCATTACAAAATGGTTTCCAAGGATGACTATGCGACATAGTTACATGTAAATATAAAAAAGAACATTAATATTAAGAATATCATAATTATAATTACACAGAATGATGGAGACTTGCCCCAAGAACCTGAGCTGGCTTTGGCGCCACCGGAAGGTCTCCCTGTAAGAATTAACTTTAAAATCTGACACATGTCATTTCGATTTCGATTTATTTATCAGTGTAAATATTATCATAAATCATTGTTTTGAAAACATTAAAATTGTCATATTATTTATTTAGATGTAGGTATTATTTAATGTGAAATAAATAACACCTAACCTAAACTACTAACTAACAATTGATTTAATCTTGCTTTTTTATCTAATGTTTTTTGCTTTCGCTTGGTATATTTGTTTAAACAATTTTATTTAATATTGTTTTCCGTCACTAACATTTTTATTATCTGTCTTCTATAACCCGGCAATCTCGTGCGCGACCGTCCCGCGGGGTGACAGACAGTGGCGGGGGCGAGGTAGCGCGTCATTCTAGCACACGGCTAACGCGTTTCCCTTTCCCGCTACACCACCCGCTACCCGCTGACATCTTCAGTACCTCGTCCCCGCCACCGTCTGTCACCCCGCAGGACGGTCGCGAACGACGTTGATGGACTATAGTATTTTTTTTTTGTTAATGTGGTCATTCTAGATACATTTTTTATTTGTATAAGGAATACGCGCGCACTTATGACAGTCTCATTTAATTAAAATATACAATTTATGTGTTTTGTATAAAATGAAATATTTTATATATATTTTTAAATTAAAACTGCATGTGATGCTTCATTGTTACTAAACCTGTCTATATTTTTCGCCTTATATTACCTAAAATACAGGCTGAAAGGCTCTGTGTATAGTGTACATTGCAATTCCTTCTGTCAAATTTAAATAAGCCAATAAGGAATCTGGAGTAGGACAACATATACTCGTTATGGCAGGTCCTTACCTTTGATAGCTTCCGCAAACTACAAGCCTCGAAGCCAAAGCCTTGTAGATGGATCACAAAATACCTCTGATTTGTAACAAAGAACCGACAATTGACCTTAGATTTAAAACTGTATTTAGGTACATTTCTTAAGATTTTTGGCTTGGCTTAATGCCTGGACCATTCTTTTGAAATTTTAAGCGTATATACTTGTTGAGGTTTGGCAAACGTCTGGACCTGGCATAATATTTTTTTTCTCTTATATTTTTGTTTAGTGACATGTTTTAAAACAACCAAACATTTTTGTATGTTTGGAAATTAAAGGCACAGGTGAGTATGATCATAAATCCTAGTCTTATCATGGAATGTACCAAGTATAAATTGAAAATACTCCAATTAAAAAATAATAGAACTGAAATGACTTTACAATTTTTTCCAAACTCATTCCCGTCACCTATCAACGACAAAATACTAAATCAAAATAAGTCCATCCTTTTTTGTGTTTGGGTATGAAAATAAACCTTTTTATTTGTTGACATAAGTAGTCATAAATAGACTATATGTAGAGAATAGGCTTAAATGGATAGTCAAACTAATACATTTAAGATGAAATAATTAATAAAGCAAAACCTGTAAATAAGAAATAATAGTTATTTAGTATACCTAAGTGACACGTAGTTCTTGTAATTGACAATAATATTATCCAAATGTGTCCATCCAATTAATCCATCCATCCAATTCTAATAGTCACCAAAACGTTCTGAAAACTTATTATCACTGTCACGAATTGCAGGAGGATATGGAGAACAAGCCGGTAATCGTCGGCGACAAGGAGGTGGATCTTAACAAGATCTTCACGCCAGCACCTGATGCTGAAGAGCATATTATAAAGAAGGATCGCAAGTTCGGTGAGGAGATTTTTTTTGTATTTGAAAAACGCAAATTTTGCACACAAAATACTTCACTACCTTTTATCCATGTCTTTGTACGTAAAGTTAATACAAATGTTCTATTGACGGGCCCCTTGGGTTTGATTCCCACCTAGGTAAAAATAATTGTAAAATGAGCACGACCATTTGTTCTGTGTTTGGATGGAAGTATGTATGTTTATCAGCAGTCTGGTTACCTTAGCACAGGATCTGCCTAATTTAAGATCAGACGGCTTTGTGTCAAACTCATAACAATAACCTCATACGGTTGCTTTTATGAGTTTATTATTTCCCACGAACAATGTGTTTTTTCTTCTGGGGGTTTCACGATTCAGTAAATATAAAACCTTGGAGAATTGTACACATTAACCATTTTAAAAAATTACTCTATCCATTGGTGAAATTCCCATGAAAATCCGTTAAGTACTTTTGGAGTTTATCTTGTTTAAACTGACATACGCTGAAAAAAGTCGCTCGCCGATTCTGGGCGACTGACGATAAAAAAAGGAGGAGTTATGTATTATTCTTTTTTCATCATTCCTATTCTTACTGTGGGTGTCGTAAGAGCCGACTAAGGCAGGACAACAGCACGGCAAAGATAAGGCAAACTTGACACAAACCCTTTTTTTTTTTTTTTTTTTTTAACGTGTGGAAATCCCCTCGGACCGTCACCCCTCCGGGGTTTGCGGCGGGGTGGTGTGTCGGACTCGGACCGACTAAAACCACACGGTGTGCCACTCTGCGCCTGTAACAGGAGGGATCCGGGAACAGCTGTTGTTAAGACATCCGGACCCCTCCTAGCGCCAGCCCGCTCCTGTTGGGGGCTCCGTCTCAGTATATTTTCCTCTCTTTAGGCGACGTCCGGCACACGCGGACGCCGCCCCCTCGCGGCTGGCCAAACTAATGCGGGTGGAGGGGAAACCCACCCCGTCCACCCGCGGCCACACTCAGGGCGGCATGAGGCTGTGGTAGGCGGGCCTCCGCCGCCAGGTTCGCCGGCGGCGGATCGGGTCCGAGTGGAGGTCGTCCTCCCGGGCCCTCTCCGCCGCCTCCTTCCGCGAGATTACTACCTCGCAGAAGGTTGCGACCGCGGTAAAACAACTGTCGCTACCGGCCATGGAGCGTACTACGGCCGGTAGCGAGAGATCCACTCCGATGACTGCAGTGAGGGCCCGGCGCTGCGCCGCCCATGCGGGGCAGACCGCCAGCGTGTGCTGGGCCGAGTCCTCACTGCAGTCGCAGTGGTGGCAGGCGGGACTCAGTTCCCTCCTAGCGACCGTGTGCAGGTACTTTGCACGATGGGCCTATAGGCCGCGACCGAATCGGCAGGCCGTCCCGGCTTCGTCAATAGGACCAGCTTCCCGCTCTTCCAGCACTCAGGGAAGCGTCCCGACGCCAAGCTAGCGTCGAACACCTCCCCGAGGCGGTCTGCCATGTGGTTGAGGGCCAGGGCCAGCACTCGGGCCGGTACCCCGTCTGGCCCAGGGGCGGTGTTCTTGGAACGGATCCGTAGAACAGCCGCCCCTACCTCCGATTCCCGGACGGGCGGAACATTGTCCTCCCCGTGCTCCCCGTCGTCTCCGGCCAGGGAGGCCATCGACGGGGGAGTGTGTTCCGCCCGTTGTGGGAAAAGGCCCTCAACCACTTCTCGCAGGAAGCTGGGCTGGAGAGTCTCCGTAAGGGGGGGGCCCGACGCGCGGAGCTTTTGTCGCACCGCGCGGTAAGGGCGACCCCAGGGGTCACGATTAAGACCCTCCAGCATCTCCTGTCTTTTTTCCTCTTTGGCGCGGCTAATGGCCAGCTTCAGAGTTTTCCGCGCCCGTCGGTACTCCTCATGAAGCCGGTCCTCCTCACCGTCTCCACGGTGACGCCACCGACTGCGCGTGTAGGACCTCCGGGCACGTGTACAGGCCGCACGGAGGTCCGCCAGCTCCTGGGACCACCAGTAGACCTCCTTCCTTGGAGGCCGACGACCTCGAACGCGGGGCATGGCCGCATCGCATACATGCGTAATCGCATCGCGAAAGCGGCCAGCCCCCACGTCGACCTCCTCGGTCGGAGCCTGAGGAGACAGCCACGAGTGAATTATGGCTGCCTCCTCTAGTAGGTCCCGGTTCAGCCTGGCAACAGCCCACCGCGGAAAGCGGGATAAACGCCGCGCCACGTGACCCCTACTGGAGTCCTGGGTCCGGGAGAGCTCAAATCGGATATACAGGTGATCCGAGAGCGTCTCAACCTCTTCCAGGACACACCAGTTCCTTACTCGTGCGGCGAGGACAGGGGTAGCGAACGAAAGGTCCACTATCGACCCCCCCTGCTGTCGCACGCACGTGTTGGTGGAGCCTCTGTTTAGAAGACAGAGGCCCACCGAGGCCGCCCACTCCTCTACGGCCTCGCCCCTGGCGTCCGTCCTGGGGGAACCCCACGCAATGGACTTTGCGTTGAAGACCCCCAGCACAAGGACGTGCCCAGACGCTAGTCGCCGTATCGAGGTCTCCAAGCTGGTTAGGAAAACCTCGAAGTCGTTCAAACTCCGGTTGGGGGAGAAATAGACACCATATATGGTGATCCCCCCCCACTCGACGGCAACATATCCAGTGCCCTTGTCTCTTAGCGACAAGGGCGGGGAATGAGCCGTCGTGGAACCGACGACTGCCACGGAGCCGTCCCAGTCACCCATCCAGTTTGGACGGGGAGGGACAGAATAGGGCTCCGCGACTACGGCAACACCTATCGACCACTGTGCCATGGTTTGCAGGAAGAGATCCTGCGCCGCGGCACAGTGGTTCAGGTTCGTCTGGACCAGGAGGTTGGAGACTTGATCCATTACTGGATCGTCTCTACAACCTCCTCCTCCTCCGTCTCTACAACGACGACGTCGACGCACGAACTACATCTTAGGCAGCCTGGGTCGACTGGCTAACCCCCGACGTCTGCCGAGAACTGCGGGGAGGCTTGCAGCCTCTCTGCCCCATCTGGTGATTGGCGGGCTTATTGCCCGCCGCACACACTGGGCAGTGAGGGGCGGCAGAGCATTCTGCCGCCTTATGCCCCGGTTGACCGCAGCGGAAACACAGTCCGCCGCAGTCAAAACAACTGTCGCACTTGACGCGCGTGTGTCCCGATGCTAGGCATTTGTAGCATCTCATCGGTCTCGCCGCCAGGACTGTGATCCTGGCGCTCACGAAACCGATGAGCAGCCTGCCGGCGTCGGCCAATACTTTGGCCGACGCTACGGGACAGCTGACCCACACGGCGCCAAGCCCTCCTGGACCGGGGCGGATGGTGCCGACCCTGACGTTGTCCGCGCTGCACCCCGTCTTCTCCCGGATTACAGCGCGGACATCTTCGGCCGTCACTGAGTCGTCCAGGCCCGAGATGCGCAGTTCCGCGCACTTGGTAGGCCTGGCGACCCTGACACCATCTGTGGCTGCAAATATTCCCCGCAGATTCTCAGCGAAGGAGTCCGCCGTCTTTGCGCCTTCAGCCCCAGGGAACTCGAGAACTCGAGCTCCCGTCTGGGCGAGGCCCACCGTCCCAAACTCGTTGGCGAGGCTGTCCCGGGCCTTCTTGAAGACGGCCGCATAGGACAGCCCGCCGTCAGCCGCCTCCGGGGACACTGTCACAACTACAGCCGCGGTTTTGGGCGGCTGCAGCTTCCGCGGCCTCTTTGCAGAGGCCGTTGCCACCGGTGGCGAAGACTGGGCTTGGGCTGCTTTTTGGGCAGCCTTTCTGGCCCGCCTTCGGGACTTCTTGGAGCCCCTCGCCTCCTGCCAACCCTCGTTGGAGGGGGCAGGTGCGGAGGGGCCCGGCAGGGGTGTCGGAGTGGGGAGCGGAGGGAATGCCACTCCGCTCCTCGGCGCCGTTTTAGGCCCCGTCTTGGCCGGCGCCTGGGGATGTGCCTTGGCCGGCGCCTTAGCCGGTGCCTTGGCCGGCGCCTGGGCCGGTGCCTTGGCCCCCCTCCTCGGCTTTTGTGGAGCCGATGGAGTAGGGGCAGACGCCGCCGCCGCGTAAGAAACGCGGCCTCCCACAACGGGGAGCGCGGTCGGAGCGGCGGCCTTAGGCCGCTGTGCCGACGCGAGCGGGGGGCGCATAATTGGCGCAGGGGGCAGTCGCGCCTCCAGGCCAGCCAGGCGTCCGTCCAGCATATTCCCAACTGCGATGAGGATTTCTCGCAGTTGGGAGTCAAATGCCCCTGAGTTGGTGGTAGGGGCAGGCTGGGACGCGGACGGGGCTTCCCGCTCGGGGAGGTTCGCCTGGAAGCGGGCGAACTGAGCACTCAGCTCATTCACCCGCTCCGTCAGCCTCTCGTTGGCCACCTGTAGGCGCGAAACGTCGCCCACTAGGCCCTCCACGACCTCCGACAAAGCGGAGGAGGAGTCCTTAAGGGCCCTCACAAACGAGCCCTTAAGGTTCACGGACTTGGTGGCCACCTTGTGAATGACGGCCACCGCCGCTTTCGCCCTCTCCTGCACGGACACGGGAGCCTGGGGGGCATTTCCCCCCACCGGCTCCCGAACCTTGAGCAGGAGATCCGCGATCTCCTCCTCCGCTACGGCCTCGCCGTCCACCCGTACACTTCTGTAGGACTCCGCGTTTGAGAACGCGGAGCCTGACGGGGTTAAGACCGGGGCCGAGGCCGGTTTGCGCGCCCTCCCTCGGCGGCTGCTTGCCACCTTTGGTGGCATCATCTCCTGGGACGTATCCGTTTCCTCGTCCCTGGAGCGTCCGCGTTTCCGGCTGTCGCTTCGTTCCGCCTCCATGGCCTCCGCGCCATCCGACGAAGCGGCGGATCCGGAACGCAGCCGATCCGATGCTCTTCGGCTCCCAGAGATCAGAGTCAGACTGACTTCTGGGAGCCCCATCGAGATAGGCGTTCCCGACGCCACCTCACCCTCAGTGGACGACCCATCGACTCCACTGTTCCTCTTCTCCCTTGCACCTTTTATTTCAGTGTCCGTTTTGCTTGCCTTTGTCTGGTTTGTGTTTGTTTCCGATCGTTTCTTCGTATTTTTATTTAATGATTGCATAATTGATCCCACGAGTGGGGGAGAAATAAAGGTCCACCCGGGCAGAGATCCCCCATTACCCGGGCAAGCGTAAGTTTTTAACCCAACCGAGGGGTCCGCAGGTACCTCGGCTTGGAGTGCGCTCGCGACTGAACTTCCCATCAGCCATGCATCCCCTGGCCACGCACCAGAACACGGGATTCGGGGAATTTTTTAGAGAGGTTATCTTCCTCGCGGTCCGGGCGGTTAAGCCAAGACCCTCGCCCCCGATCAGAGCCGCGAGACTTAACCACAGCGCTCTTCTCGGGATTGCGATATGCCGACGGTTGACAGGGAGACTACGTCCCCCTGCCTGCTCGGTGGTAGTGTCAGTACACGCCGAGCCCGTCCTCCTTTCTCCACCGCTATCAGCGGAGAAACTGTGGCCCCTACAGGGCCCCGCCATCAGGTTTTTTACCGAGGTTTCCTCCTCCATGCTCCGAAGAGCGAAGAGCCAGCAGGGCAACCGGCAGACACGCCCACCCTGCTGGACCAGGCCTTGCCCGAGAGCCGATGAACGGCTGCCTCTTCTGCTAGAATATTGGCCGCTGGCGATAATCCTCTCCTCCAAGAGGACAAGGAGGGAACAGTACCATCGCCAGCGTTTCCAGGGTGCACCACGAGGAGGTTTTCTAGCCCAGCACCCCAAACTTGACACAAACACTATACCAACCCGTCTGGCCAGCGTGGTATAGTAGGCCAAAACTTCCTTTCTAAGCAGAGGCCTATGTCTAGCAGTGGATTACTAAAGGCCATTGATATTGATTGATGACGTTCGTAACATTATGAAGGAGTCAGGTCAGGTTCACATAAATAACATGAGATTGTGTAACTATTAAGAGATCTAATCCACACAGTACAACGGTTACAGCACAAGTGTCCAATTAAATCGAATATCGACTGCCAACCCGCATTGCTGTTTTTATTGTCTCTGGAGAACGAACGAGTGAATGTAAAAATACCATCTTAGTACTAATACAAGTTGTCATTATCGAGTATCGGTATAGAGTCTACGAGTAAATAGTCGACTAAATGTAGTGTAAGTTAACAGCTCGGCCATCCTTAATAAAGTGAGTCCTCTCACTTTGCTCATAATTTAAATATTAATTATGGCGACAATAACTGTAATTTGATAATGTATAGGGTAATCAACAGTTGATATTAGCTTTAAATGTATAACTTAAAACTAATTACATGACAATACTCCCTATTTACTTCTAATTTCCCTTCTTTTCATTACACTTTCCTATTACTTCACTTAATCATACTGTGTGACAATACTGTGTGTCTGGTATGCTACTCACATCTGCGGTCATCTGTGCGATGTCAATTGCTTGACAACATTCACTGTCTGCACTGACCGTTCATATCGGTGAGTTAGATCGCCTACGTGGTGTACTGAGTCCTCTGCAACTGTGTCCATCAGCCCGACTCAGTCGGCTGTGCTCGTGATATCGCCTGTAAGACTCACGACCACTGGTATCGCCACTGGGACTCCTGCGGCGCCGCCGGTGATTCACACGATGACGGGTACGACTACGGGAACTCCTACGGTGTTTACGATATAGCGAACTACTACGTTCTCGTTCACGCCTGCTCCTTTGCAACGATTTTTCCGTATCCGTAGATTTCCTGCTAGGAGTGTCTTTATGGCTTCTTTTTTTTCTTTTCACTAGAATACACCGTCACTTTATTGTTATCACGACCGTGTTTCCTTTTTCTCGAACGGGAAGCACGAGAGTTTCCCGTTTCTTGAGGTGTTAGGTATTCGTTTTCCATGAAGGTAGGTTTTAAATATTTTAACGTTATAAAATCGCACTTCAACAATTTTTTTACAATGTGAGCGCTTCCGCTTAAAATATAGTACCAACCTGTTCAATCCCACTTCTGAGATGAAGGAGTCAGGTCAGGTTCACATAAATAACATGAGATTGTGTAACTATTAAGAGATCTAATCCACACAGTACAACGGTTACAGCACAAGTGTCCAATTAAATCGAATATCGACTGCCAACCCGCATTGCTGTTTTTATTGTCTCTGGAGAACGAACGAGTGAATGTAAAAATACCATCTTAGTACTAATACAAGTTGTCATTATCGAGTATCGGTATAGAGTCTACGAGTAAATAGTCGACTAAATGTAGTGTAAGTTAACAATTAGAACTTCGTATTTACGAACAAATTTGGAAAAATATGCTATAATTTGGGCGGATATAAAAATTTGAAGAAAAAATACCACCCCTGGAGGTAGTTTAGGAATAAAGAAGTCAGAATTTATGATGACGTAGGCGAAATGGAGCTTGTGATAGGTACTTTTTTAAAGTGACGTCATCGCCTTCCAAATTCGGTGCACAGCTGTTTAATCTCATACGGTTTCTTTCGCCATATTGTGAATTATTTCAGTGCTATTTTCGGCTCAAAGTGTAATGCGCTTCTGTAGTTTTTTGTTTGTTCTGAGAAATCACTTCAAATGACGTGGTTTTTTTTTGAGTCAGTATGATGACGGATTAAGAAAACAAATTGTCACCACCCCAATTCATCCCGTGGGTGTCGTAAGAGCCGACTAACGGAGAAAAATACGCAGAACAACAGCACTGCAGAGAGAAGGAAAACTTGAAACAAACCCTACTAGTAGTAGTACTAGTAGTAGTACTAGTAGTAGTACTAGTAGTAGTACTAGTAGTAGTACTAGTAGTAGTACTAGTAGTAGTACTAGTAGTAGTACTAGTAGTAGTACTAGTAGTAGTACTAGTAGTAGTACTAGTAGGAGTAGTATAGGCTGTCGATGTTGCAAAAAATCTACCATAACGCCATCTTTTTTAAAATTAATGATATATAATAGCTACCTCTGCTGACAGATGTCGCTAATCTCAATTTTTGAATATTCCAGAGAAAACATTTGCGTCATCAGCGTTCTACGTGCCAGGAGTACATCCGACGGTGAAGGAACAGATGGACTTGGCCAGATCGATCTCCAAGTCCTTGAGCGACTCCAGCAACCACATGAGCAGGGGCCAGAGCATGTATGTGAACAGAAAGAAGAGATCTGTCAAATGGGTGCACGAAGGAAGAGGTGAGAGATTTTTGTCGTTATGGAAGTTTAAATATTGCCATTATTTAATTTAAAAAAGCGGCGTGTGGTGACCGATTAAAAATACGGAATGTCACCACCCCTATTCATCCCGTGGGTGTCGTAAGAGCCGACTAAGGGTACAAACTGCACAGACCAACAGCACTGCAAAAAGCAGGTTGTATGGTTTCTTATACCAACCCGTCTGATCAGCGTGGTATAGTAGGCCAAAACCTCCTGTCTAAGGAGAGGCCATGTCCAGCAGTGGACTATTATAGGCTGTTGATGATGATTGATGATCCGTTTCGTTTAAAATCATGCAATATAGCATATTTTAATTAGATAAACATAAACTTTTATTAAATCTTGTAGCAATTAGTTTATAAGAATATTAATAAGACTCCATCAGCGGGCGTTATTTATGTGAACAGCTGATATTGACAGGTTGGTCGGTAGCCAGCTGGTGCCGGCCTCACACATGTTATTATAAATTATTTATAGGTTGCTCCTCATAACTGCTTTGCGTTCAATGCGTTTTGAATAAGTCTCAATATTCGGCACTAGACTTTTTAATATGTACGAGTATAACTTACATTTCGACTGCATGGATGGCGTAGTGGTTTAGCGGTCACCTCGGCGCTTCGTACTGCATTGAGTGTTGTAGGTACTATCCCCACATGGGAAAACACTTTGTGAGATCCACAAATTGTTGTAATGAGTCTGGGTGTAATTTGTGTCCGTTTCGTGTGTTTGTATGCATTTATGTATGAATGAATACACATATCAGGATATATGTATTCATAGTGCGGGAGCTGTCTTAAAAAAAATAACTTTCCATAAATTTGTAAGAGTGTAGAGGTAATTTTTTAAATTAAAATATCTAAGCTACGCAAATTAAGGATACGGATACAAATAAGCGAGTAGAAAGTCTTAAATGTCAGTCGACTGTACACATAGCGCGTGAATACAAATGGTGGGACAAGGCAGTCATGGAAAATAGGCCTTAGGGTAAAAAAGAGAGATAGAGGAAGACCACAACTGTGATTGAAGGATGATGTCAAAACTGCAAAGACGAATTGGATTAAAAAGTAGCGCATAACTGAGTTAGATGATCGGATCTGAAAGAGGCCTGCGCTTAAATGGTTCGACACAGCTCTGAAAAGAAAAGAAATGAAAAAAAATAAAAACTATATCATATCATTTTAGAACATCATCTTTAACCTAAATTGTTCACTGGGTTGAAGTTTTAAAGTCCATTTTGCATTAATGCTGAGTCTACCTCTATTAATACTAACTCATTATAAATAATTACTCTTTTCTATAACTGTCCAATTAATTTATAATTGTTTATTGTTTCAGGTCGAAACACATCGAACGCATGTTCCACACCGACACCGGTAGCAAACCACGACACGCCGTACAGACCGCCATCTAGTCTTCGCAACCAGAAAACTTACCCCAAGTCCGCGCTTAAACACACCACGAACCTGCCAAAAATGGAGCCATTCCCCGTATCAGCACCTACTATTAACGTACAAAACATGGATATACCACTATCCCTAGCTCCTACGAAGTTGAATGATGTTTATGCTTCGCCAAAAAGCCCGCGTTTGCCTCTAGTTTGTGGGCCTAATTTCAACGTAGCGCCACGCGGTTGGGGCGAAATGAAAGACTATTATCGACCAGTCGTACTAGATGTCGCTGGCTCCTACACAGATTTTTAAACTTGGTTATTTTATTATTTGTTGTAATTAATTTAAAGTAAATTATTATATGTGAACAGTTTTATTTGAGTTGTCGTTTTAATAAGTATCAGTTGTTATTAGACTCCGCTATTATATGTGCATTTTCGAAGTTATACAAATGACGCTACGCTTGGTTTAATTAAAAATAAATTAAAAAAAAAACATTTTGTAACTCTTTGGAGTAGCGTATACAAATAAACAATTACATTGTTTATTATATGTTATTTTCAATTTATACATTTAATGAAAAAAATACGTAAGAAAGAGTGAAGACTATCCCAATAATTTTGTATTTACTAGAGTTGGTAACAGGCAACAGGTATGATGGAGTCAACAATTATTGTAAAATCATGTTCTATATATTAAGATAACTGTTTTAATATTATTTTAAGTAAGTGAGTTATTTATTTGAACAAAATGGAGTTCCTTCTTTATGTCTCTGGTATAAAGTTTGTAATTACAATTTCAAATAAGCATTTTAATTTAACCATCAGCAATAATTATTGAGTAGGCTATAATAATGTAATAATAACTTTATGTTAGCAATGTTAAACAATGTAGTCCAACACTAGTCATATATCATACTTTAGTATTACAAAATAAGTAAATAAATAGATATAATACTAAATATTGTGCCTTAATGTTACCCTAACAAAAATAGTGCTTGAAAAATAAAACAGAATTACTAATATTACGACATTATAAAAACATTATACGAGTAATTATTTAGAATATGAACATTTTCTACTTAATTTCTTTTATTTTTGCAGATTATAATAACGTTTTGACTAAATATGTAGGACTAAATTGGCGGGAAAATGAACTTTTATTTTCTTCTACATTGTTTGATACACATTTATTTAAACATACGCATATATTATTAATGCTTAGGTGTTAATGTGTTATAGATAGTGTAAATCCAAAGGTATTTATTTAGGAAGCATCGTTTTATTACGTAAACTGTTTCTTTAAATTTTGTATTTCAGCAGTTATTTTTATGAAAACCCTTCTGTTAGAAAGGGTTAATCATAAAACAAAATATAGTATAACGTTTAGTTAACAAATATTCTCTGAAAATTGGCGAGCAATTTTCAATAGGGCCGCTATCATTGCCGTGTGTATGCTCTGACATCTGTCTAAAATGACTTTAAAGTGACATTATTTTAGTCAAATAAGCAACTTCATATAAATAAACTTATACCTACGTATTCAATAGTCGGTAATAACTAATAACTATTAGTAATCGTAAGTTAGTTGTGGACGAAAAATCAGAAATATTGACTAAAACTAGTCACAAAAATAATTTACGGATTAGGTTGTGTTAATGAGCAGTTGTGTATTTATTTGATTTATGTTCGTGCTGTTTTGTACGAAAGGATCAATAAAGTATTGTTAAACAAATATATGGTTTTATTATTAACCGCTTTCAAAAAAAGAGGAGATTTTCAATTTCGATGTTTGTTTTTCGTTTTGTTACCTCAGAACTGCGACATTTATGAACCAATTTCAAAAATTCTTTTTTGGTTAAAATGGTGTATACCTACTGTTTAGTCCCATTAAAGTTTGAAGAAAAATTGTCCCCCAAGGGTGATAATTAAGGAACGAAGAATAACATCACGACGGCGGCGCATTTAATTGAAGTCTCCACTTGGTGAAGGTCGCGGGGAGTCGTTGGATTGGAGCAGCACAGGACCGGTTGTTGTAGAGAACCTTGGGAAGGCCTATGTCCAGCAGTGGACGTATTTCGGATGAGTTGATTATGATATCTTTTATTTTTAATTAATTATTGTATTCAAATAAATAAACTTATTTATCGGGACAAACAGTTGTAGGGACATTGATCCGCAGTAATTGGCGCAAGTGAGTAATGTGTATGAATAATGGCGTGATATGAATTTTAATTTACTCTTATAATATTAATCACAGTGGTGGATGGGAGAGGGGAGGCCGGCGGTTGAAAGGATTGATAAGAAAGAGTGGGTCGGTCATTCGCATACCTTTTTTCAAACAAAGGGTAGGTACGAGTAACTTATATTAGAAATTGATTTGACAGCACGAATGGCTTAGAAATTTAAGCGATCGCCACGCCGCTTCCTACTACGCCGAGTGTTGTGGGTTCAAACCCCCCACATGGGACGACACTTTGTGTGATCCACAAATTCTGAGTCTGGGTGTTCTTTATGTGCGTTTCATGTATGTTTGTAAATGTTTGTAAAGACACAGGATATATTCCTAATGCGGGAGTTGTACCGAAATAATTGCCAACAAAAGGTTTTCGAAAGTGATTTACGCAATGGCCGCCTGTGTTATGACATCTGTGTACTAAGAGATAGGCACACTTAACTGTCTAGCTTTCACTTTGACATTAACATTTTAGAGGTCCGTAAAAGACTAAAAATCTACAATACCAAATTAAACACATTTAGTCACTTAAACTAGATTTTTTAGGCAAAAACTACGGGTGGTCACCGATGAGGAAGGAGATGAAAAATTGTAGAAAACTCTCTTCGTCTTGGTCTTCTTCTTCATTACTGAAGAACGTGTGCCACATTACAGAGGTATTGTACTGGTGGCCTTAGACACCAGATATTTCCAGACTGTCCGGTCTTCGGTTTTTCTGAGCGCAGCAGTTATTGTGGCAGTGTCAGTGTTGAGACCTGATCAGACTATCTTCTGGCAGCTCAATTGCGCGGTCTCTCTTCTTCTACTTGTCCAACTACTACCAGCTCGTCAAGATTTGCCAACAACCTGCTAATGTGTATATACCTACCAGCCGATCGGCGTTACTTAGTCTGCGTCTATGAAAAGGAATAAACTTTTTCCTGTTTTTGCAACATTTTTCACTGATACTGGGCTCCTATTGGTTATAGCAACGGACGACCGGATCGCGTAGTGGTTTGTGTAACGGACTGCTATTTCAAAGATCGCGGGTTCGATTCCCGCTCAAGTCAAACATTTGTGTGCATGAACATTTGATGTTTGATTTGGTCTGGGTGTTTCTATGTATAACATGGTTGTATTTACATAAAAAAAAGTATATATGTATTTATATTAGTTGTCTAGTGCCCATAGTACAAGCTCTGCTTAGTTTGGGACTAGATGGCGTTGTGTGTATGTGGTAGAATATTATTATTATTATATTATAGCATGATGTTATGTAGCCTATAGGAGTGTTCCTCAATAAATGGGCTATCCAACACTAAAAGAATTCGAGTAGTTCCAGATATTAGCGCCTTCAACCAAACAAACAAAGTACCTATATAAAATGTCAAAGTTACATAATGCATTGTATTAAGTATTGTATTAAGTATTGGTATTAAGTATGTCAGAAGGGAAGTTTTGTAACGTTTTGTTGTTGTTTGTTTGCATATAGGTACTATGAAATTACGGTCTTAGTGGCTTGTGTATTAAGAGCCTAATTTTTATTTATTTGGAGTAATAAGGTACTCAATCGTCATATTTGCCTATTTTCCTCCCCCAGGACCAGTCTGCAGACCATTATTTCTCTTTTCCTGGAAGATCCATAACAATCAAAGAAAGTCATTACATTACACACATACACAATTCGAACTACAAGAGAAAATTACGAATTGATGACGTATAAACTGGTTAAAATAAACTTAACCAGACTAAACAGACCAAACTAAACCAGGCAAAATTGGCGAAAAAAGGACCATGGTGACATGGTCCTTTTGCGCCAATTGTGCCATGTAATCTCACGAAGGTATTTCCAGAATTTGAATATTTCTAATGTGGTTATTTGTTTGGCTATTTTATTCATTTTTTTTTATTATTATATTTATACATATTGACGGTCATTTGATCACTAAAATTCCTAAAGAGTATATTTTTGTTTTCGTGTTTTTGTTAAGATATCACCGACCATTGTCAGTAATAAATTGACTGTGTTTTTTGACATATTATTATGTAGAATTTTATTAAACGCATTTTTAAATGAAAAATGATAATTCTACAATTTTGACACTTTTTAACATATGACATATGTGTCAAAAAATGACAGCTTTATAAAACAGAACCCGATTCCACTAGCCGTGGTCATAGGCTGACAGTTAGTTAATTATCTCGTGATCGCGATATTTCCTGTATTAATCCATTTAAAAGTTAGTACATAGCTATCATTAGTTAAATTGTACTACGCAATATTAGTTCAATGATAGCTTTGCTTAATTTGAGTCTTAATTACGCTGTGTAATTTAATGATAGCGTAACAGATCATGACTATTTGTTATGACGATAAAAAATGTAATGTAACTACCTCTGACTTAAAAGGAAATGCTTTAGATGATGTAATTATCTATGATTAAACATAAATACCATTACACGGCACATGTTTTATAATGATAGGATGAGAATTGTATCATCATTCTGCTTGATAGCCTGACTTGATCGTAGATAAATTGTTTTGTGACTTAGATACGAGAAAAATAACAAGACAATAAAATAACAACTAAGTGGTAACAGAGTGAGAATAAAAAGACCACAGTACGGGCAAATTGAAGTTAGAAGTATCATCAATTGCATGATTGCATTCAGTTCTAAATTACGTACATAGATCTATAGTCCTGAAGGAACACTTATCTCATCAAACGTTTAAGGTCATTCCCCCAATCGACAGCTGTCTTTGCACGATTCTGACGACGTCTCTTAACGAATCTTGACATTAACCAAATATTTTCTTGCAAAATGTTTAGCAACGCTTCTCTCAGATTCGTTATTGTAATCAATTTTAATTACGACCACGTAATACGGCGAGCAATTCTTCGTCACAAATTGGTCGGCTCGACCGGAGTGATGCCAAGACCTCACAGACAACCGACGTTTTCGTTTGCATACTCGTTAAATTTATTGTAATCTTCCATTTTTTACACGCTTTATATTAGCTTCACTTGTATGTTTGTTTGTATGTTTGTAACCGACTCCTTTGGGCGTGATTTTGACTGACTTTAAACGGTCAGAAT